GTGACCCTGTGACTGGATTATAATGTGGTGGTCAACTGATATAGGCAGCCTAGGTCACCTTTGTATAGCTTGGTTACGGTGACCCTGTGACTGGATTATAATGTGGTGGTCAACTGATATAGGCAGCCTAGGTCACCTTTGTATAGCTTGGTTACAGTGACCCTGTGACTGGATTATAATGTGGTGGTCAACTGATATAGGCGAGCTAGGTCACCTTTGTATAGCTTGGTTACAGTGACCCTGTGACTGGATTATAAGGAATTACACCAGATGATTAGTTACAGATAAAAACGCGAAATGGAAAAAATGTGAAAAAAAATACTTGGCTACTTAACAATCTATCTATCTATATGTTATACTCAACAGAGACCAAAATGGCTTTAATGCGGAGGGATATACAATATGGTGAAGGATCCATACATTGCAATATTTTGTAGTCAATTCAATAAATCAGCACTGAATTGGAAATATGAATATTTTGAAATATTGATTAAGATCTTGATTTCTTCATCCAGTCTGTCTTTACAAGTATTAACGTATTTTATCATGTGTGAAAGATAATGTTGCTGCTGGAACACAAATTATGAAATAATCTATCATTTTTCGCTAGTTTTCTTTTAGTCCCCAACTGGGAGTTACTGATGACAATGTCTTCTTTCGTATCATATTGTAAATAGGTCTATTTATCCATCAATTAGATGAATATTGATTATTTACTCTACAACTAGAAAATAAATAATAACGAATGCAAAAAGTTTACAAAGCTTTCACTGTACATCTCCTGCAATGTAAATGTTAACATGTTGTTCCACCTTGTTTGTAAGTTTGAGTGGACTTTTTCAGTAAAGCAAACTTATTTGTATATTTAAATATTTTAAAACCACACTGTTGTTGTTATTGTGCAATATATTACTGTTATTCTAACAAATAAATCGACCTAATTGGTCTGTCAACTTATAAAGTTTTATTTTCTGTACTTTGTAATTTCAGTATTTGTCTCCATCCAGTGGTCAAGGAGACTGTTCATTAACTCATTCACCCCTGACATTTCATAATGAACTATTCCAACCTTTGAATTGGAAGAGCTCAAATGTGTCTTCAGGGGTGAATGAGTTAATGAGTCTGTTTCATGATTTTTTGTCCAAGGCATATCTTCTTACTGACTGATTTGGTTTGTTTGTTTGTGTTTTACGTCCTATTAACAGCTATGGTCATTTAAGGACGTGCCAGGTTTTGGTGGAGTGGAGGAAAGCAGTAGTTCCTGGGGAAAAACCACCAACCTACAGCCAGTACCTGGCGACTGCCCCACGTAGGCCTCGAACCCATGACCCATTGGTGGAGGGCTAGTGGTAGCAGAATGTCAGACGCCTTAACCACTTACCCACCGCGGCCTCCTTACTGACTGAAAACAATTATGCCCCAACTACCCAGTGGAAGGGGCATTAAGTGGGGTTTTTTTCCTGACAGTAAAGAACATAGTCTTTATTAGACCTTAACTCATATCTTTTTGTACGACATCTGGATTAGATTTTAGAATAAGCTCCGTTACTCTTATACTAGGAGGTTAAAGGTCATTAAATTTCCTATTTGGATACATCTTGAGTAATACATCAAATGTAGTTCAGTCAAAGGGTCACAAATTTCAGATCTTGTGACATCGTGAGAAGAACTACACTAATACATCTTTAGTTCACTGTGACCCTAAGACTTTTAGCTTAAGTGACTTCGGTTAGCCGTTGAATCGGGCTTCTCTTTTGGCTAGGTTTTGCTTTTACCTCTGTTTCTATCAAAGTAGGAGTAAGTCATACTCGGGATAATGTTGTTTTACAGTCATCTTTTTATAGAATTTATTTTATGATTTTAGCTCACTTTGAACCTATTCTGTTTAGTTGGTCTGTCAATTTGAACTTTCTCTCCTAAAAGCCTCTGAACCAGAGGCTTGCATGACACCCTAACATTTGGCCTGTAGTTTGCTGGGGGATGCTATAAATATTTATTTAAAAGTGATCTTGGTCTACTGTTCAAGTCACAGTGGTCTGATATGTTGACAAATTAAGACTCTTGCTTTTGTTTATCCAGTGACTTTGCTAAATTCTTACCCGATAGAATAACATGATGATATTTGTTAAAAAAAAAGACATCTATCTTCATCCAGTGTCACTTGGGTCATATATGGTGAAATCTGTTATTACATGTACTTCTGAAGTTCAAGAAGGCCAAGGGACTTGACATTTGAGCAGTTGTTAATTGGGATGGATGACTGTTGGACTTGTTTCAATTAAGGACCTTGATCTTGATTGTAATTCAAGGTCACAGGTGTCAAATATGTTTAAATCATTAAATGTTTTCTCAAGTTCAAGGCCCAGTCTCAAAGTATTTCACAAAGAGGTAGCTGAATGAGAAAGCATTCAAAGTTATTCAGCTAGATAACAATGTTCTTCATTCAAGAACAGGGATTGAATACATTAAAATCTTCACTGTAGACCATAGTGGACTCATCCATATCAATGCATGGTAGAGTCTACTAAAGTTACATAGGGGTGAAAGGGTTAAATGACTTCTACAGTACAAAATACCTAGGGACATCGTATTTGGCCAGCAGATATATAGCCAGTTTAAATGACATCGATCTTCATTCAAGGTGGCAGCGGTCACGTGTATTGAAATCTATAAATGACTTCTGAACAATAAAATGGCACAGTAAAGTTTAGTAAATCACTTTATAGGATATCAAACTTATTCAAATGAATTACCTTGACCTCTTTCAAGGTCACAGGGTTGGAATATTTCCTATTATTTTAACATCTTTTGAAAAGCTAGTAGTCTTGGGTCTTTGTGTTTGCCCTATATTCTGATTTGCTAAAGGTAATCAATTTTGTTCAAACGAATGTCCTTGACTTTCACTTGTGGTTGAAGATGGCAAACGAATTAAAAAATGTCAATGCTATTTAAACCACACTATATTAAGTAGAGTTTTCAAAAACATCTTTCTCAAGTTTCAACCCTCAAGCTATACCATAAGCATACAAGATCAAATGTCCTGTTATGAAGAATCTATCAAATTGTTTACTATTTTTATTTATTTTTGATTAATTCTAAACAGCCCAATAACATTCTAACATTATAGAGTAAAATAGGATTAATGAACATATACATGTGTGTGCCAAAAGGCATCAAAAGTAAAAGAAAATCCAGAAAAATGTTAGAATTGGATTAAATAATGATACATATATGCAATGTAATCAGTGAAGTGGGTCATTTTAGTTCTGCCGGGTGTCAGCTTGGTAAAGGTCACTGATCATGAGGAAACCCCTGATTACGAAAGGGTCTAATATTACTGTAATCACTTCTTTTGATCATGTGATGAAATACAATAAGTATCGAAATGGATGGATGTTACAAGTGGAATCCCTCCGGGCAGTGTCCTTGGCCCGTCATTATTTGTAATATATATCAATTTACCAGAAACAATAAAAGCATCAACATTCTTATTTGCGGATGACGCAAAAATGTTTAATCACAGCGGAAATATGAACATGCAAGAAGACCTGGACCAGATCCAAATATGGTCAGATACTTGGATGTTGAAATTTCACCCGGAAAAATGTAAAGTACTTTCATTAAGAAAAAAAATAATACTGCGCCGCTTTATTTATACGCAAAGACACCAATGAAGGGAGGATAAAATGTCATTTTGGAAAACGTTAACAAAGAAAAGGATCTTGGAGTAATCACATATAACAAACTTAAATTTAATAATCATATACACGAATCGGTAAACAAAGCAAACAGGATTATGGAAACAATTGGAAGAACGTATACATATTTAGACGCATCAACGTTTTGTCTGCTGGTATAAAGCACTCGTGAGACCACATCTGGAATACGGAGCTAGCATATGGAATCCATATATACCTGAAAAAAGGACATTAACGAAATTAAAAGTTCACAAAGGAGAGCCACAAAACAGATACCAGGAATGAAAGACCTAAGTTATCAAGACAAATTAAGGATTTTAGAATCACCAACTTTAAAATATAGAAGACATAATACAGGTTTATACACTAATACATGGATACTATGACACTTCTGTAACAGAAGGCTTTTTAAATATAAACGAAAACAAACGAACAAGAGGTCATAGTCTTTGACTTGAAAAAGGAATGTCTAAACTGAACTTAAGAAAGTATTCCTTTAATAAAAGAGTGGTCAACCATTGGAATTCCCTGTCAAATCACGTCATCATATCACGAACAATAAAAACGTGTTAGGCCTGGCTGGAGGTTAACCATACATATAGGCTTTTGTCTGCGTCCAGTATTATTATAATCTTTTTTTTACCACTCCTATAC